ACCCCTCGCCGCGAGTCACTGAAGCCAAACCCGACATACGCAGCCATCGCCCAGAGCGAACCGTCCGGGAAAGACACCTGGTTCTTGGACAGCTGCTGCGGACAACACATGTGCTCCTCGGGTCGCTCCGTCCAGCGGGAACACCAACTTCAACGCAAAGTACTCATCACCGTCGCCAACAATCAGAACCTGCGCACACGACGGCAAGGCATCGTTCAACTTCAGACAAGAGAAACCAACGTCATACTCCAAATTTCAAAGGTTTTAATCGCAGAGGGACTCGGCTACAACTTACTCAGCGTTAGCCAGTTGATGGCGAAGGGCATCCACCTCGAAGTAGAGAGCACCACATAGGAGTTTAAGCTGTTCCACGGGAAAGGAGGTCTCTATATCGCCAGGGCAATGCTGAAGAATCATGTCATCGTTCTCAACTTCGTTCCAGATCAAGGCACCGCCGACACCGACGGAATTGTCACCTTTGCTCCTTGGACACACCCGCCGGATCTCGACCCCAACTTGAGCCCTGGCGGCTTTAAGTACTCGAACACCATACCTGAGGAAGAACGAACACGAGCATTAGTGACAATCCAACAGGCAGCAGATACAACGTCGGTAGCAGCAGAGACAACACCAATCACGACACCAATCGCGGGTCCTTCAATTGCACCAGCCCCAATCGATGATACTCCACTGACTTCTACGCAGCAGTTGACTCCCACTCCACGAGAAGTCATCAGGAGCGCCAAATTCACCGTCGGTTTTTACTCCAGCTCCAACTTGTACAGGCGCTCACCCGGACATCGCGCTGGCAAAGACATCTGGCACGCAGAAATGGGACACCCGAGCAACACAACATTAAATAATACGATAAGAGCAGAAGTAGTTGATAAAGACTCGCTACTCCTACCCGACGGCAGAGAACCTCAACGAGTTCAAGGAACATGCCTCACCTGCCCTGAAGCCGACTTACCGCATCAGCCTTTCCTCCCTCACCACAACCGAAGTGCGCTGGCATACACACCTATGGAAAAAGTGTACAGCGACATACTGTACAACGGTGAACCTGGTCAAGTAGCATACAACTATGTCATCACTTTCATCGACGCCGCCACACGATACGTATGGCACCTTAACCTTCCGAGTCGTGACATGGCCTTCGAAGCCTTCGTCGCCTGGCTTCCAGTAGTAGAAAGAGGTTGCTTCCAGTAGCGGAAGCCTTAGGAGTGTAGCTGAAAAGCTTCCAGTTAGACGGGGGAGGGGAATATCAATCTCAAAGGTTCACGCAGTTCTTGGCAGAAAGAGGCATCAAGCGGCTCATCTCCCTTCCCTATGCTCACCAACAGCAAGGCGTGGCAGAACAAATGAACAGGACCCTCCAGATCACCATGCGCAAGCTGCTACGAGGCATGCGGCTACCCAGCCACCAGTGGCCTGAGGCGATGGACCACGCTGTCATGCTGCACAACTTGCTTTCGTCATCTCCCGAACAATGCATCACCGCATCTGCTGTGGATAGGAAAATTGGGCAACACAAAAATGTTACGAGTGTTCGGCTGCATGGTACAATACCGAACCCCAGCTGCACGAGCAGGTTGCTTCTCCCAACGCGCACAGTGGGGGCTACACCTAGGCATCGAAAAACACTACAACGCATGGAAGATCTTCAACGTTCACACAAAGGAAACAGTAGCCGCACGTGATGTGATCTTCTACGAACGTCTCACGCTCCCGACGTATCTGTACAACTTGGAAACCTCACGGGACGTCACAAGCGGATTTCATGGGGACCGAGCCTTCGCTTCGGCAGCAGATGAAGCTGACTTGGACGAGCACAACGTGGACAGAGCTTCGGAAGAAGCCGGACCTCTTCCCTACTGCTCGGTGGATGTCCCAATGGACGACGACAACCCTCGCAAAATCATCAACGCCGAAGTCTTTTTCGACTTCGCTGACAACAGTTACATTACACCCGCGCAAGTCAACACCGACGAAGCAGAATGCGTAGGACCTAATTTCATACATGATCCAGAAGCGGGAGACGAAGCAGCTTATCCCGAGGACGCAAATCTCCCCCGCTACACGCAAAGTGGACTCCAGATCCTCGGACTCGTCACCGCAGTCCACGACACGGCGCCACCTAAGGAGCCTGCCACAGTTCAGCAGGCTTTGGGGGGGGGGGCACAGGGAAAAATGGCGCGAGGAAATGGACAAGGAGTTAAAGGCACTTGAAGAACGCAACACCTGGAAGGTCGTACCTATCAGTGTGGCAGGGAATAAGACCATTCTCACTGGAAAATGGGTTTTTTCGGGTGGAGGCAGACGGAACCATCGACAAATTCAAGGCACGCTGGGTCGTACGTGGGTTTGACCAAGAGCACGGACGAGACTTCACCGATACATTCACACCTGTTAGTCAGCACACCTCACTGTGGATTCTCCTCACGATAGCCGCCATGAAGCGGAAAAGGCTTCATCAAATCGACGTCGCCAACACCTTTCTCTACGCACCTGTCGATGCTGAAGTCTTTGTCGAGCAACCGCATGGCTCCAATGTAGACCCCAACCAAGTCTGTCAGCTACTGAAGTCTCTGTACAGCATCAAACAGGCCCCGAGGTTGTGGCAGCAGTACCTACACGCGCGACTAATCTGCATCGGATTCCGACAAGTGCCGCACGATCAAGGAATGTACGGCCTCACGAAAGGAACTGACTAAATCCTGCTGATCGTCTACGTGGACGATTTACTCTGCATCGGCTCGACCGACGGCGTCACAACCTGGTTCGAAGGGGAGCTGCAGCGGGACTTAACGCTCACCGTCTCATCCACCATGACACAATACCTCGGGCTGAGCATACAGGAAGAAGAGAACGCGATCTATCTCAGCACCGCAAAATACGCCGACACCATCGCCAAACGCTTCGGATTAACTCCAACTGTTATCCCCACACCGTACGACTACACCTCTGCGAGCCACGAAGGAATCTCCGCACCACTCAAGCCTGCCGGCATACGCGACTATCAGCGAAAGCTAGGATGTCTACTATTCGCAGCCGTCACATGCCGACCAGACCTATCATATTCGGCAAGCCGGCTCGCCACCTACCTCAAGATAGCTGAAGCAGAGCACATGGCGGCCCTCGACCGTGCACTCCACTACCTCGTCAGCACTCCGACAATTGGCCTGATCTACCACAAAAACGGAACCTCAACACCTAAGCTAATCGGCTATGTAGACGCCGACCACGCTGGCGACGCAGACAATACCGTAGACGCACACATACCGGCTACATCTTCCGGCTCGAACCTATCGGACCTATCTCGTGGCAGTCGACCAAGCAGGAACTAATCGCTCTCTTCTCAGGTGAAGCAGAACAGAATATATTGGACTCTTCTCAGCCACCAAGGAAGGCTTGTACCTTCGCGAACTGCTAAAAGAAGCGAAGTTGGCCCAATTACTCAGCTTCACTTCTACGACAATTCGCAATCCGCATAGCGAACAAGAACGGGTTCGCGAACCGGACGAAGCATATCGCTCTGCGATACTTCTTCGTAAAAGATGAGATCGAGAAGGGGAGACTCGAGTCATCTCACTGTCCCACGACCGAAATGGCAGCCGACTATTTGACCAGGAAGCTCGGAAAGCAGAAGTTCAAGTACTAAATGCTGCTGACTGGACAAAGCCACGTCACCAGCAGCGACACTCCAGAAGCAAAGGGGAGTGTTGGAAACAAGTAACTTAACGCTTCTGATTTGTCGGAACATCGAACTGTAAACGAAGCAAATAGCAACGAAGAAACGGCGAGTCAACCATCAGAGGTTGACAAGAGAAGTGACCGCTGGAGGTTACGCGAAGGTCAAAGGCAGCGACCTCTGACTTGACAAATACAGCACGACAGCAAGGACAAACAACTGACTCGATACTGAGCAGTTGCCCGAGTCGTCACTACATTGAATCGCAACAGCAACAATAAAACGTTTATCAGTTACACCCATTTATATTCCTCGTAATCTTATAAAAGGCTTGTATTACTTTTCTATAATCAATCTATCTTGCCCTAACATACCTACCAACGCAAGTGTCAAAGTTATTTTATGTAACTACTTGTGGTTTAGGTGTAGTGTATTTATCTTGTCTTCTGTTTGGTGGTGCATCTCTAGTTTCTTGACTATATGTTGTATCTCTTTGCTATTATTGAACCATTCTCCTTCTCAACTCTCTCGACACTTTTCTCACCCTCGATCTCACTAGCCATGGCTCCTAAGCCTCGCTAGAATCTTGATAGCAAGGTGGTTCAACACTTCATCATTGAAACGCTTCCGAAATTACAACACCTCTACTCAGAGTTTAGCCTTGAAAAGATCTTAAGGGCTTTTCTCAGCCCAACATTATGTACCCCAACCAGCCTTAGTTAAACATCCTTCTGTTTTTGACACTTCTTAAAAAATTGTGGTTCCCTTTTGACTGGAGTGGATTGTGCTCCTACCACATTACAAATGCATGTGTTTTAAGAGTGGTTTTTATTCATAAGTCGCGGCAAGTCTTGTTCAAGTTTCACAGCCAGTTGGAGTGAGAAGGTACCGTAATGTGTTCTTCATTGAAACATGGGCTTCCACTCTGCACAAAGAATACCCCCCTGCAAGACCCCCTATAAGAGTTGGGCAGGAGGCAGAACAATAGTGCAGCATTTTCAAACCGAATGTACTATAAGTGTATGCCACATGTCAAGGTGTATTTACTGTAACATAGACCTAATCATCCATTGTTAGTCTCGCCTTAATCCCCTAGAGTTCCTAACACCCCCTACCCGAACCGATCTCTGCTGCTTCAGTTCTTGCTCATATCTGGTCCAAACTTGGGAATGACACTGTGAAGCAACTGAAGAAAATGATAGCCTCCCCGCTGGACCTGGTAATCCGGCCCTTAGCGCGTACAATGGGGCTGCTGGTTGAGGGAACACATTCCCCCCTGAACTTCCGTACGCGTTCGTGTATGACGGAGTTAGGGTTTTATCGGGGTCTGATGGAACAATTCGGACATTTGTGAGGGTGATGTCTCGGCAAGGAACAGTGGTGCTGCAGCTGACGGTAATACCATCTGTTCCATTACAAGATGCTCTGATATTGTTGTAGGAGATGTCATGGATGGCAACAGCGTTTTGCTGTGGCACACATTTTGAAGCGTCTACATTCTTGGTATCACAATAGAACTGTCGGGGGGGAGGGACGCAGGCAGAAAGCACAGTATATATGGGTCTGCACATGAAAACAGAATGTGGTACTGTAGATAGATTCAAAATAGTGGGTCACACAGGCTCTTGTACTGATTATACACACCTGGTTAATGACGATAGGATATGTAACATCTGTCATTTGCACGTTCTCGTACGAGACATTGGACACCAGTCCCACGCCTCCTTGGTACGTCTTGATGCGCAGGCCGTTGTTAGAGCCCCGGAAGGTGACGTCACGTATAGTCACACCCTGGATGCACCCCAGAGCCCCTTCAGCTCCCAGGCTTCCAATGCTGAGAGGGGTTTAGGTTTGGGGGGGTGCGGATTGGTGAATTTGGGGGAGATTGTAAGAGACAACAAGACCCTGAAATCGAACGCAGTACCCTGAGTTTGATTTCTTTCTCTTATGCTTGTGCTTTTCCTTGCGGATGCATCAAGGAAGAGCACAGAATGTCACACCTGATGCCATGGCCGTTGATGCATGTGATATTCTCCACAAGCACGTTGCGAGTCATGCCCACTATTGCCACACCATCATCGCCTGAAGCAGGGTTAGAGAGGGGGGGTCATGGAGTGGGGAGAAGGGGAGACAGCAATGAGGTGGGGATAAACATGAAATGTTGCACCATAGAAGCCAAACTACATGCAGCAGCATCCGGTACTGTGTGCCGCTGAGATCTTGCAGGTCACATATAATTATCTGACCCAAAATAACTGTGCATATAATTTCATGACTTCATTACTGTGCATATAACTGTGCATAACATTTATTGACTCATAATAACTGTTAAAAAAATCACTTGATTTCATAACATTTGTGCATACAATCACCTGATTCGAGTCTCGAGTCCTTGACAACCACATTAGAAGATGAGCTGATGCTGATGCTGTCCGTGTTGGGGCTGTTCCAAGGAGCCAGTGTGCGCACCCCCCGGATCATCACACCCGTGCTTGCCTTTACCTTCAGGTGGATCTTGCCCGGATTCCTGTGCTTGTAATGGAGATGCATGTAGCGAAGCAGCGGGAGAGAGGTACATGCAGACACATGCAAGCACACGAGCATCCAGCCCCAATCATCATGCCATCATGTCATCGCGTCATCATGTCATCATGTCATCATGTCATTGTGTCATCACGCCATCATATCATCATGACATCATGCTAGCACCACACAAGGCATTTCTTTCGGGAGGCATCACAGTGCCAGCATCAGCAGCAGCAGCAGCAGCAGCAGCACAAGGAACACCACAAGAAAAAACAGGAGAAACAGCAAAACACAACAGGAAGAAGCAGACACCGGCTCATGAGGTTTGAGCCACAGAAAGGGTGCACAAAATGGGCACATAGAACCAGAGTACATGAGATATGCACCAAGCTGACTTTTGAGTCAACAATAAAAAGTGTAGATGCACAAATTACAGCGCATAGCCAAGGACAGGGAAAGGCAAATGCCGGCTCATGAGGTTTGAGCCAGGAGGAAAGGTGCACAAGATGTGCACATAAAACCAGAGTGCATGAAATATGCACCAATTACAGAGCATAGGCCATGCCTTGACACTCACTGCATTATTTGCTGACGGTGCAGAGATATGCAGTGCTTTAGGGAGGCACTGGGTGATGCAGTGGATGCTCCATGCAATGTTATAAGCGTGTAGTATGCAATGCATAAAATTTGAATCTTGGTGTTGTTGCCACTCGGACGAAGGGATAGCTGGGGAAAGTAGGACAGACCTGGGGAACTTCCCGACATAAGGACTTACGGATAAACAGATTCAATTGCTATGAGACAAGGAAGCATACGAGCATTAAACACGAGAATCACAAATAATAGAGCACACACTGACCTGTAGGTGATCCCCGATATTAGCAAGTTTCGGCAATCCGAGAAATGCATGAGCATGGGGCGCTTCCCTTTGCCCCACCACGCGCGCCCCGAGCCGTCCAAATAGCCGCTCCCCGCGACGACGAGATTATCAATCCCGTCAAAACCAAGCATCGCCCACGTCTTGCTGCTCTCGGGTCGCGGATACGCCGCCGTGTTGAAAAACGCTTGAATCGCCCCATCAATCTGAGCCGAAGTGGGAATAAGTGGGAAAGTTTAAAGCGTTTTTTTTTTTTTTTTTCAACGGGTAATTTTCTCAACTCACCCGAACAATCAGTCCAGCGCCGCACGGCCCTTGGATCTCCATCGGGAATATCCGGAACACCGCGTTTCCGGGCACGTGCACCATGGCTCGCTGCCTCGTCCGCGCGCCGTACCCGCACGCCGCGGCGAATGCGCGCCTGAAAGGCCCCGACGCGTCCGCCCATCCGTTCGTCTGCGCGCCGAACCGCGTCACGCTGAAATACCCGGGGCTTGCAGGGTTCGGCTGGGGATCATCCGGATATTCCGGAAGAGGTCCGGGGTCAGGTCCGGGGTAAGGGTCGGGGTAAGGATCGGGGGTAGGAGTTGGGTTGGGGATTGGGGTTGGATTGGGGGTAGGGGTAAGCGGGTCGTTGGGATCATAGGAAGGGGCTGGAGGCTCGGGGATCGGCTTGCCGTCGCGCCCCTTAAAACCGTTGCGCCCCGAGTTTATGGGATTAGGCCTCGACCCTCCTCCGCCACTGCTGCTGCCGCCGCCGCCCCCGCCCCCGCCGCCCGTGCCTGGCAGTCGCGGTTTCATTTGGTTGCCTCCCGCCGGAGCTTGCTGCCTGCTGTATACCAACTGCTGACTCGGCTGCTGCTGCTGATGTGGCTGCGGCTGATTGGTCTGGCCTCTCCCGCTGCTGCGCCCCGCGGATTTGAATCCCGACGTCTGGCCGTTGCTGGGAAAACCAGTGCCGCTCGTTAGCTGATTGGTCTGGCCGTTCCCTGCAGATTTGAATCCCGACGTCTGGCCGTTGCTGGGGAAGCCTGTTCCACTCGTCAGCTCCGCCGTCCCCGCGTTCATGGAGTTTCTTTTAAATGCCCCCCCTCCTCCACCCGCGCTCGAGGCGTCCCCACCTATTGCGCCTCCCCCTCCGTTTCCCCCTCCGACTCCCCACCTGCCCATCGCCCGCTTGAACTCGTTCTCACTCTCTTCCACATTCGCCGCACTCCCTTCCCCGTCCTTAGCCATTCCCGCCATTCCACTCCCGACTTGCGCCCGCGCCTTCATCCCATCCCCTGCGACCACTGCGCTCTTCATTCCCCCATTCCCACCGTTGCCCTTGTTTCCCTTATCTCCGCCATTTCCCTCGCTTTCTCCACCCCCCACGCCCTCGTGTTGCTTAACCCAAGCCTGCCCACCCCCAGAAAACGGACTTCCTGCCCCTCCTCCGCTTCCGCTTCCGCTTCCCCCTCCGCCGTTTGCCCCCACAACCTCCTCCCCACCGGGGAAGAAGCTCCCCAGAGACCGCATGTGGAGAGCGCCACCCGCGCTCCTTCGGAACGCCGCCGCGCGCTTCTCGGCAGCAGTAGCGGCGGCGGTAGAGGCGGTGAAGGCTGCGCGGGCGTCACTGGCGGAAGCCGTAGAGGCCGCGGCTACGTGCTTCTCAGGCGTCGCGACATCTCCCGCAATCACGGTGTGCGCGCAAGCGGCGGCGGAGAACAGGCAACGGGGGAAGGGCACACAGGGCCATACAGGGTCTTCCACAGTTGCCCCGTCGACCTCCGCTTCGATCGCTCCGCCGAGTGCGATAGTAAACGACACGCCGTTCCAGTCGCACTCGTCGCGCGTGCGAAGGTCTCCGTCGTCGCAACCGCCTATTGGCGGAGATGACGAGAGGGTTGATGAGCGTGGGGGGAAGGAGAGCCGGAGGAGGGGAAAAGTGAGAATGATGGGATGGGGAAAAGTGGTGTATGTGCTGTGTTGCTGGTGACGAAGTGAAGGAAAAAAACGGTTCGCTGCGCGTCGTGTTACCTGCGTGCACGATCGCGCATGTGGCGTCGACAGCGAAACGGCAATCGCCAGTTCTCCTTCGCATACCCGTTGCGGGGCGCCACGCGTCGGCAGCGGTGAAACGGAAGCCCCTGCAGGAGGGTAGCGCAGATGGGGACGGAAAGAATGTGTTATCATATTTTACCGACACTTTCGACGACGTGCATTCGGAAACGGCTGTGCATCCCTGAAACGGGAAACGGTGAGTGCTTTAGTCGTCTCGTCGCGACGCGTCGAGTACATACCGTGTACGTGTCGCTTGTTCGACGACCACAAACTGGCCCCGCGCGACGTCAAACACGCACGCGTCCCGCACAGGCAGCAGCTCGCTTCCCGCCCCCCCCACCTCCCGCTCCTCCTGCTCCTGCTGCTCCTTCTGCTGCCGGTACAGAGCCTCCTCCTGTGTTTCCCCCACCGCCCTTTTCTCGTCCTTCTCCTCCATTGCTGCTCCCTCAGCAACCAAGTTTGCGCCACCCAGATTCGATCCGGCGACCTTTCCTTGCGTCAGCTCGCGAGACGCGATCCCAGCCGCCAAGCCATCGCTTGCGAGTTGATTGCCCGTAGATGGTTCCATGTGGTCAACAGGGTCAAGCTGGTCAAGACTTGACGAATCACGTGAAGTCACTTCTGAAAATCTCAACTCGGTTCGGGCGCCATTCGTGGGCGCGTCCAGCACGTGCAGGCGGTTGCGATGCCACGTGGCGCTCAGCGACTCGCCGATACCCGACTCACCCTTCTGGATTGTCCCTTCCTTCCGGCTCGCGTCGTTCTCTTCCTCTGGGGTGACTGGAAGGGAAGGTCGCTGAGTAACAATCGCCTCATCGCTAGGCGACGTCGCGGGCGGTGCGTTACTGGTGACTGTTGCACCTGTGGAGAAAAGAAGCGCGGCGATTATAAGGAGTTTGGATATGTGACCTTTCGAATGCAGTATTCGCGATGAAGGTGACCTGCGTGCACTCATTGTCGCTCGTCAATCATGGGGTTGCAAACGCTTTGCTGCCTTTCTGCTGACTTCCCTGTCGAAGGCTAATAGGCTTTACACGAAAGCGAAAAAGCCGCTTAGACGCAAGGTGCAGAATTGTGGGTGTCAATCAAGCGAACCGTCTTATTCTGAGCTAAGACTGGGTGGCAATAACAAACCAACATGAAGGATTTACTATCCTCGGCAGCAGCCTTCAGCACCGCAAGGAGCTGAGGAGGCAGGATCTGGTCGGTGGAGGAGGTGTTGAGATGACAAGCCGGCGAATCTCGTAGGCTGTTAGGAAGTGCGGCGAGGGTGCCAACGTGCAATGTGCACGAATGCCTGGGCTTTTTGGAACGTAAGTGGTGGAGCTACTACTTCTCATTAAGTTTTCTTTCGGTCTTCGCACCTATTACGGACTGAGTGCATGAATGCTCGAGGCTAAGGGCTGCTGGCGCACGCCACAGGAAAAAGCCTGCTGCTGAAATTCTCGGTTATAGCGGAAATGTGATGGGGATGGGCCCGTGTCGGGGCCGATGCCCGGCCACGAGATGGATGGAAGCATCAACTCGGGAGGGAAGTGACGCACATGCGCGACTCGAAGCTTGAGAGTACAGGGGCTCGGTGGGTGTGCACATAAATTATATTCTCGTTTTCTGTGCCCTTCAACTGTCTGGGTGACCGCGGACCTGCTTTACGACATGCTAAGTGCGTTTGGGTGCGGTGGATGTGTTTCTTGGTGTGTGTTGTAAGAACCTGAGATGAAGTGCTGTGCCTGGACCCATAAATAGGAACATTCTCAATATGAAAGAAAACGGGTCGAGCAAATTGTTTCCGATGGTGTCCATGGGGATTGAAAGAACGATGGAAGGGCATCGTGGGCGCCGGGAAGTGCGGGGGCAATAGGTTACCGCCAATCAAGCCGCGATAAGAATTTGAAAGGAAGTGCCTCCCCCAGGTGGAAAATAGTACAGGCGCGCTTCCGGCTTCACCATTCATGATGCGCCATGGCAGCACGGAGTAGTTTCTATTGACTTCTAACCGCGGTAATAACATACTGTGATAACAATAAAGATTCCAGCAGTACACACCATCCACACATTCTCCGTCTTGCGCTATATATAAACGTCACCTACAAAATCATGTACCACACTGAAACAAAGAAACGAAAACATGGCACAAATTGATACAAATCCCTAGCTTCATCACTCAGAATTCTTGCTTAAGTGTTCCATTTGTAATATGGGCAAGGTATTATTTCAATGGTTTTTTCAGAGTCACAACAAATGATTATGAATCGTTACACGCATTGGAAGCGGTAGTAACGCGAGTGAACGTTCGAACACGCACTACGCGGTTGAAAGAAACCCGTCGAGGTCTCGTCGAACCAACTGCATGCTTTGCAACATCCTGTGTCTGGCATGCTCCAATGTCTACGTTATTAGTAGCCCCTATATCACCAGGCCCATCTGCAGTGTTGCCCCTTGATGCATCATAGCCCTTTGTATGGAAAACAGGAAAACCCTTCTTCTCCAAGTTGCCGATGCTGTTAATCCTCCCATACTCCTCATGGTTACCACAACTGCCACTAATACTCCCTCCACTGCTGATGCTGCTACTGGTGGTGGTGCTGCTGCTGTTATTGATGTTGCTGCTCCTGCTCGTTATTCCATCACTGGAATACGGGCTTCGACCATTTCCTGCCTGAACCCCCTCGTACCCATCTGATTTTTCCACCCTCTCTTTAACCACCTCCTCTCCAAGCACCTCAAGAAACGGGTTGGTGGAATGAGTAGGGTAGTCCAGTGCACCTGATGGTAAAGGCAGCATTCCCTGCTCTTGCAGCTGCTGCTGCTGCTGCTCCTGCTGCTGCAACTGATCCAGCCACAGCAGCTGCTGCTGCTGAATGGGCAAGTTAGCCACAGCATACGTGAGAAGGCTTAGGGTTCCTCTGATCAAGCCCTCAACATCAGTATGAGAAATGGCTTCTGTGTGGTGTTGGTCCAGCGTCATAATGTAGTCATGCTGCTCCTCCTCACCTTCCCTCTCCTCATCTTCCTCTTCCATCCCCTCTTGCTCCTCTTCCCTCCTCTCCTCCTCCTCCTCCTCCTCCTCCTCCTCCTCCTCCTCCTCCTCCTCCTCCTCCTCCTCCTCCTCCTCCTCCCTCTCTCTCTCACCCTCTCTGAAACCTCCCACTCTAGACTCCGCCCACCCCCCCCCCAAAACCTCCTCTCCACACCCCTCACTCCCCCTGCCCTCCCCATCATAACCCAGGCAATCACACTCACTCCCCTCACGCCCCTGTGCCTCGCCACAGCCCACGGAGCAGCTGTGAGAGGCGCACTCACTCCCCTCCTCCCCTGGCCTCCTCGAGTCCAAGCTGGCAGCCAGGCTGGCAGCAAGGCTGGCGCTGACAGTGGCACTGACAGTGCCGCTGGCGTTGAGAGAAGACTCACTCATGCACCACTCACCGTCAGTGACACAATCCCGCACCGGCCCATTCTCACCACCACCCGCTGCCGCTGCTGCTGCTTCGGCTAATGGCGCTGTTAGTCCCGCTGTGCTGCTGCCTAGAGTGTGGTTCAAGCTGTCTTCCCTTGCTACTGCTCTTTTCCATGCAGGCACACCCGGACCAGCAGCACCTGCACCAGCAGAAGCTGCACCGGCAGCACCACCAGTTGCGCCCGCACGAGCAGAAGCTGCACCAGCAGCACCAACGCCAGCACCAGCAGCAGTGGCACCAGCAGCAGAAGCAGAAGAAGAGTATGTAGGGGTGAGGCCTCTCGCCCCAATAGCAGCAGCGTGAGCAGCAATGGGAGCGGCAGTGGGAGCAGCAGTGGGAGCAGCACGCCCTGGTGCGGAGAAAGAGGAGGAGGAGCAACCTACGGGAGAGACTCGAGCTAGCACACTGCGTGTGTGGTGACCTTCCTTCTGCTGCTGCTGCTGATGCTGGTGGTGGTGGTGCTGCTGCTGCTGCTGCTGCTGGTGCTGATGCTGGTGGTGGTGTAGGCTACTGCAGCCACCCCTGCTGCCTACTCTGCTTGTGGAGTGTCGTGAGCGGGGCGAGGGGGGAGCGAGAGACGCAAGGGAACCCAGAGAGGCTGACACAGCTGACGCTGATAATTCCGATGCCGACGCTGCTGGCTGTGCTGCCGTGGCTGCTGCCACTGACCGTGCAGCGGTCGAACCCGGTTGAATGCGGTGCTGGATGGTGCAGCCCGGTGCGGCTGCTGTTGGCGATGGTGGCCTCGCGTGGAGGAGAGAGCGGAGCGGGTTTTGCTCTGCTGCATGTGCGGACGATCCCGGCCGTCCCTTGAAAGATGCAGATGCTGAGTTGGCGACAGTGAGCGAGCGGGACCGGCGAGGAAGGGCCTGACTGTTCCCTCTCACTTCCTCATTGCGCCCTCTCTCTTCGCCACTGCGCACGCGCCCTTGACTGTGCTGCCCCTGCAGCTGCTGCCTCTGCTGCTGTTGGCTCGCCGCCTTTTTGCCATTCTTCTCTTGATGCTGCAGTCGCTCCATCTGCTTCTGCAGCTGTGGGGCTTCAACTCCCTCCTCCTCCTCTCCCCCCTCTTCCACCCCTCCCTTCTCCTCCACCCCTCCCTTCTCCTTCATCTCTCCCTCCCCTTGGCGTTCTGCCTTCTCTTGCCGTTCCATCTGCTCTTGCAGCCGTAGCAGGGAATTGTAGTGCCCCACCAGAGTCGCCACATTCGCACCCTCCAATGCCCCCTGCTCCACTGCCGCTCTCGCTGCCCTCACAGCGCTCTCCACCGCCTCCAACCGCGCTCCCTTTGCCGCTGCCACCGCTGCTGCTGCTGAAAAACGAGTTGCGGCTCGCTTTGCTGCTTCTACTGCTCCCTTTGCTGCTTCTGCTGCTCTCCGTTCGTCTTCCAGCTGGTATTCCCCGAGCACTCGCTCCCGTTGCTCTTGCTGCTGCTGTTCCCCCCCCACCACCGCTCCTCCCTCCTTCTCCTCTTGTTGTGTGCCTCTAACTCCTTCCTGATTCTGGTATACTCTCCCTTGGGATGCTCTCCGCTCCACTGTCTCCTCTCTGACCCCTGTTTCTCCCTTGCCTCTCTCCTCTGCCCTCCGCTCTCCCCCCAATCCATCCCCTGCCCTCTCTTTCTTTGCGCGGATCTTCTTTTTGCTCTCTCGACGCACTTCGTCGTGTTTCAACGGCCAACCGAAGTTAACTGGAGGGGAGTGTTTGCGAGAGTGAGAGCGAGTGTGGGACCCGCATTGCTGCGACGTGCTTACCGAGCCTGCAAAGCTTATAGCTTGAGAGAAGCTCACTGCTGCTTCGGACTCCGCTGGCAAGGCTAGCCGGCAGGCTCGGGCACTTGCTTCGGCGAGAGCAGCAGCCTCGGCAGCAGCAGCACCAGGAGCAGGGGTGGGCGGTACCGTGACGCCAGCAGCACTAGGTGTGACGTCATTACCGGCGTTGAGCTGGTTCCACGTGGCGGATTGCTGAGTCAGGGCCTTGTACGCGTTAAGGACCTCTTCACTCCGCCCATTGGGTATCAGTTTTTGCTGAGGGTCAGGTTTATATCCACTCCTTTCCCCCCCATTGTTGCTTGTTACACCAAACGTCCCAACCACACCAGCCTTCGCTGCTCCTCCTCCCCCTTTCTCTGCTTCCTTTCCCCCTCCGCTTCCCCCTGCTTTCATCCATCCCCCCCAAGAGATGCTTCGTTTCGGTTTCCTGCTGTACTTGTCGTCTTTCCCTTCACGCACGCTCCCTCCGCTCACGCTGTCCGCGCTACTGCCACCTCCGTTAAGAGACGTACGCGACGTGCTCCTTCTCGGAAACAGCCTGCACGTCATTATAACGGGGCCATCGTCGTTATCATTGCTGTCGTCCGCGTTATAGGCGCGGCGGACGCGGCTCCGCAGAACATCCCCCGTCCCTTCCGCCATCGCCTCGTCATACCCTTCCTCCGCCGCATTTCCGCGCGCCCCTCCGCCCAGAGCTTCCGCGCGCTGGTCTCCCGCTGCCGCGCCTGCGCCAGTGACGCCGATGGTGGTGGTGCGGGGCGGCGGGAGTGGATGCACGGCGGAAGGGGAGCCGCTTCCGCGCCGAGCTGCCCCCGCGGGGGAACGCAGCCAATCAGCAGCTGCCAACGCAGCAGCGCCGAGCGAAATGGAGCGATGAATACGGTGCTGCTGCTCGTGCGTGTCGTGAGGCTGTTGCTGCTGCTGTTGCGGTTGCTGCAGTTGCGGGACGTGTTTCAGCGCGTTTAATGATCCGTTATGGCGCGAACCGATACTAGGCCTTCGCGCCGGCAGTGTCGTGGGAGCGGGTACGTATCCGTTGGGCGCAGCAGCAGAAGCAGAAGCTGCGTCAGTGGCACCGTAATACGCGCTAGAAGGAATGTCGTCACCAGCATTGGCCGCCGCAACCGTCGCCGCCGCCGCCGCCGCTGCTGCGACAAGATTCTCCTCCCCGAAAGGCATCCCGCCACTTCCGCCGCTCGCGCTGTCCCAGTCGATGACGTCATGCTGAGGTGGCGTTACATACCCGCTGCCGTCAAGCTGACGTGGCGACGACAATCCATTCGTTTGAAGCGCACCGGGTTTGATCGTGCTGACGTCAAGCGGCGAAGCCAATAAGCTGTTGCCACGTGGACGCGGCGAGAGGGTGGACACGCCATTTCCGCCACCCCTGCCGCCACCCGCAACCACGCCGAGGCTTCGCGCGCGCCCGCGGGGATCCTCGCGGAGCGCGGGGGGGCCGACGGCAGGGGAGGGGAGACGGCGCACGCCGATCTGCAGGGAGTTTGGCTGCGCAGAGCGGGGAGACGCGGAGCGGGGGGAAGGCGGCCGGGGGCGCGAAGCATGCTGCGCGTGAAGGCGGGGGGAGGGCGGCTTCAGTTCCGCGCTAACGCCCCTTCCATTCTCCTTAGCCCCCTCTCCACTTAACCCTCTCCCCGTTCCACTCTCCCACGCAGCAAAGTCCGCCCAACATTCCGCTCCCCCACCCGTGCAACCTTCCGCGCGCCCACCCGCGCAGCCTTCATCGGGGAACAGCTGAACGCGCACGCCGTCCGCATTGACGCCGGCATCTGCGGCTTGGAGCGGCGCGTTGTTCCGGTGACCCGCAGCCCCCGCGCTGACGTGGCGCTTCGGGAACGAGCCTGAGGTTCGGCTTGATCCCGAGCCTGATCGGTTAATCGATAGAAGCGCGTGGATTTTGGAGGTACTGTCGCCTGGCGTTGAGGGCCCTGAACCGGGGGAGTCGCCTCGGGAATACCGGTGGCTGCATCGCGAAGGGGGAAAGGGTGGTTTGCGGAGAATGGAGCGTGCGCGTGTGTGCACAGCGCATGCGGGGAGAGAGGAAGCGGGGGAGAGGGGAAGGGGGAGGAGGAAACGAATGGGTCAGCCTAAAGCGAGGAGCGGGATAGGGAGGAAATGCGGAGGTGGTTAGGAGTTGAGAAGAGACGAAACACAACTATGGCATAAATAAGCCGGCTGTAGACAAGGATGGGCGTGGGAACCCATGTTAACGCGCGCGTACAACAAGGAATATAGGCTTATAATACAATGCCAGAAAGCGAAACGTTTATAATTGATCAGAGCAGGATTACGTAACGGACCTCATAGGAAGATCGTGGGCGAGAATGGAAGGGGATGGAGTATCGTCCGAGTCAGAACCGGCGGTTCGATCAAAGCAGCTAGTCTGCAGAACGGAGTCAGGTGAATTACAAGTGACACTAATAGGCTTACGTCCCCATTCCGGTACCACGGACTGTTCGTGACTTTCTCGCTGTGCTACTGGTTGTGTAACCCGCTCTGTTAGATGCTGTGCTAATGGCCGTGCTACTGGCTGTGCTGTGTTTGAGGCTGTGGGCGAATACATGTTCTGCTCGAGAATACTAGTAGTCAGCGCACATGGCGGCGGCGGGCACCGTAAAATGGCGCCTCGCCGTTCGGACGAGCTAAAGCGCGGAAACTATTCGGATGTGCTGCGCGGTTCGAGCTGTGGAGGTTCGAGTATCAGCAATGGTGGAAGATAAGAGTTGCGTTTAGCAGATGGAAGAAAGCTTGAGCAAATGGATCTTGAGAGCCTGAGTAACGGAACATCAACAGGTGGTGAGGCTAGGCGAACCACGCACGTACAGGTGGGGTGGTGGTGGGGGATGAGGTGAGGTGAGGTGAGGAGGGAATGGCAGGGAAGACGGTGCAACGACAAAGAGGACGGGATGGAAGGGTGGTGTGAAGACCAAATTCCCGAACGTCCACATTTGAGTGGCGCGAACTATAATTTGGAGGAGCGAATTCTTGATAGGCGGTTTGAAATCCGCGGCCTGAAGCAAACTCCGTACATTGCGCTGATGATTTGTGAAGCTTCGATTTCAATTCTTCGGGTCAGTCTCGAAAACATCTGGCACTATCTTCAAATACTTAGAGCCTCTCTATTACGATTCAATGAAATGGCCTCCCAGACCTAACGAGTTGTCTGAAAATACAAATTAACGCGTTCGTACGTTTCAACACGGGCAGGATTGTCTTCTCCAAACCTACAGAAACTCAGCAAATGTGTCTCCTTGAGCGAGGATGTCAACGTTGGCACGCAATGTCACAGATGCACCTTGGTAATAGCATTCTGCAATACAACAGTCCGAACATGCAATCACCAGCATCACATAATCAAGATAATGTTTTACCATCACTTTTTTCACCTGGGAGTTCCACATGTGGCTCAATGAAAAGGATGCATAACGCAGCTCCTAGTTGTATAGCCTCGTTTCTGTGTGCAACTAATCGTGCATTTTTCAGCTGCTGTTACTACACAACATTGCGTTATGGTTCTCAAGTGCTTGTACCAGAGCCATTTACATGAAAATGTGGTACATCCAAGCTTGTTAGGGCAGCTAATTCGTGAAGAAATGCTGAATGGGTGCTGGTGGATTTGCACTAAAAAAAGGAGCCTAGGATGTCTCCATTGCGGAAAGTGCTGGTAGTTGTAGTGATGCCACTGTTTGTTGAACAGATGTTGGTGCTGCAACTAGAAGCTAATACAGACGGGGGACTGGGACTCAACTGTGTCAAGGACACCGCATGTGCACTGCCCTTACCATTGGCAATGGCTGACAGGAGAAGTGGCAAGAGCTTTGGTAGCGGCCTTGCTAACTCAAAAGAGCCACCAAGCAACGCAGGGGGTCCAGAGGTTGCATGAGCCTGTAGGAGCATAGGCGATGGAAGCAGAGGAGGAGCGGTGGGATAGGGTCCACCCCCGAGAATGGCAGCTCCCGCTGGCCCACCAACCACATCCTGCTGCCACTTCTCCTTCTGCTGGTTTCCCTGCTCAAGTCGCAAGCAGTGGAGTGGCGCTCGCTGCATCGACCCATGTGCCTGAAGCTTCTTGGGAAGAGAAGAAGCCAGTGGCAGCTGCTGCAGCTGATGGGCCACTGGTTGCCTTGACTACGATGACTGCTGCTGCGGTTGCTCCTGGGTCTGGGAACTTAGAAGTGGCTGCTGGATCTGCATCACGGGACTTGGCTTGAGCCTCCAGAGGCTCCCCTCAATGCTCACAACTAGAAAGCTGTAGCTTTCATTACGACGAGCTGCTGAAGGTGCGGCAGCTGCTGAAGGTGGCCCACCTGCAGTCTGCGGAGGAACAGCGCCAGCAGCAATCATGCTGGCTTCAGCAGCGAAAAAGGATGGCGATGCCGTGAGCAGAGATGGCAGCAGTGCTGTAGGATGGCTAGTACGCTGTGTGACAGCTTCAATGGGCAGCGATTTGGCGGCAGGAGCTCTAGCAGATGCCGTAGCGGGTAAGGCTGGTGGAATAGCTGGTGTGTGGCTGCCATCGGCTGTGGAAGCATTGCAGGTTAGAATGCAGCTGTTGAAGTTGGTGCCATCCTGATTCTCGTTCATGCAGGTGCCAGATGCGTAGGCATGCAGTGAATAGCCGGTACCATTTGCGGCCGGTGTTGCTTGCTGCTGCTGCTGCTGTAGCTGCTGCTTGGGCTGACATTGGCAGCAGCACTGGGAACGGGGGAATGGAGGAAGGAAGAGGCGCCAAGGGAGTGGAGGCAAGAGCAGCAGGTGGGAGTGCGAATGGCACAAACGCTGAAGCACGAGAATGTGAGCGAGCAGATGGGATTAGCTGGGAGGAATGCATTGAGGTTGGAGTTCCAAGGGCACAATCTGATGAGATGATGGTTGGGCTAGGAGGCTGCAGCGACAGTGGCAGGGGCAAAGCGATGGAAGGAGCTCTGGCTGATGCCGACATACTTCTAGAAAATATGCCTTCAGCAGATGTGTCTCTGGCAGATGTGCCATCAGCCGAAGTGCATTCGGCAAATGCTCCTCCATTGGTGGAACCAGAGACTGAAATCAGCGAAGACTTTGGAAGTTCAGCAGGTATGCACGAAGACGCAGCTGCATTTGCGGCATTGTAAGATGGGTGAGTACGAGGGAATGATGGGAGCGTGGAAGATGATGCATGTGTGATGCTGAAATGATGATGAGCCACGTGATGCCTGACAGGAGGGGATGCAGACAGATGTGTCTCTTCAGGTACGGTTGTGCAAGGATATGACTCCACTGTTGCTCCTGCCCTGTCAGCACATGCATGTGCTCTCTTTGCTGCTGCTGCTGATGCTGCTGGGCCTGATGATGTGGCAAAAAGCAAAAGTGATGCGATCCCTGTGTCGATAAGACTGTTTCTTTTGGAACTTCCGCCACCATTTTCGGGACCTTGGCTGAACAATTCCAAGCAGTCCTTCTTGTTGCATCCCAGTGGACATAGCGCTGTGTCACGTGAGTCAGATGCAATGCTCTCTTGCCAGTGCTACGTGAAGCAATAAAAGCTGAAATTCAACGATCAATGAATTCTTTATGAGCGCTCACAGAGGTCGAGACGATGGGACTCCTGGAACAGTTGCGGCTCAATGTTGATAGCGGTCACGGATGATGGAGCTTCGCAGTTGTTGAAATGATCCAACAATGGCCGAGTTTCAACAGGTTTTGTAGATGTAACAACATTAGACATTTTGGCATGAATTGCTGACTTTGGAAGGTTAGGAAGTTCTGCCATTATGGTCTTGCAAATGAGCATGATCTCTGCATGGATAGGAGTCTTATGAATCTGGTCAACGCATAGCTTCTCGATGTCAGCCGTTTTGATCGCATATCTGCGGATCCATTGAAAGTTTAGTCGGGCTCTTGCTCCGTTAATGGCCAGAGAAGCAATGCCATGGACGAACACTGCATCTTCGGGCGTCTTAAAGGTTCCAAGCCACATGCGAAAAGTATTGCTCAAGGCGCAAATCTATGATGCCCATGATCCCCATTGCCAACATCGCACACCTAGGAACTGTTAATGATCCGGTACTTTCAGCTGATCGCCGTTGTTCTTTGCTCGATTCTTGGCAGAACCAACGAAAGTTGTTGAGCCTGGAGCTTTTAACGCGTTTGCATTTCTCCTGGGACCGTCATCCACTGCATCTTCTTCGCAACTGACTGCTACTTCTCCACGTGACCTCTTCTCAGTCCAAGCTGTAGTGGCCGTAGAAACGACATCATCTGACGTGTTCTGATTAGGTATTATGGGGTCTGATTGCGTCGCTTCAACCATAGATATCTCAAGCCTTTTCGACAGCTGATTCGGGCTATCCATATTCACATTCGTTCCTGCAAACCAAAAGTATCGTTACAATGGTAGTCGACGATAGGTTAGCCTCGTAGCGTCGGAAATTACATGCATTCCTCTTGAACAGCTCCGTCGACGGTTCTCGTCTAGCCCGTTGTCATAAATAGCATCCTTTGTGATCCTGCTCTGCGAAGGCATTCTCAAGCGACCATATCTGGCTCAACTTGTCACCTCTGCTTGTCAGACCCTTCCCTCCTCTCCCTCAGGCGGTCAATGGGATAAGTGGAAGCTTGACCTCTGCAACAAAATTAAATCATTCGCCAGCCAAGAAAAAGTCAGGGTGAAGAAAACCACCTCGCATCTCTCCAACCTGCGGTGCCAACTCCGTATTCATATGGCTGTTCATCCCTCTGAAAAAGTCGCCAAAGACCGCCTTCGAATCACATCTCAGCATTTCAAACGCTACGAGGCGGCCCGGTCGGCTGAACTCGCGATGAAGGCAAAGCTTAAAGTAGAAGGGCCTATGGAAATACGCGTCTCTTCCTTGTTGGTGGGGGTTAATTCCCGCATCAAAGCTTCTCTCATCTCATCTCTCTGCTCCCCCTCCGGTGACCTCATCTTTGAACTCCCTGCCATGAACAGGATCTGCTCCGACTTCTTCCAAAAACTTTACGACGGATCTCAACCTGTTGCGGTTGACCCGTCCTTATGGTCCCTTATCCCACCATCACACCTCCCTCAATCCTCTCTCTCCCGTCTCGCTCTCCCTTTCTCATTAGCAGTTGTCTCTCGTGCCATTTATCTCTTCCCAAAGGCAAGACACCGGGCTCCGATGGCCTCCCAGGGGAGCTTTTCCGTCTTTTCCGCCCTCAACTCTCTCCTGTCATTCATGACTTGCTCCTTAATGCTCATCATGGTCTCCCTCCGTCTATGTTGCAGGGTCGGACGGTGCTCATTCCAAAAAAGGAGATGCCAGGATGGTCGACAACCTACGCCCCATA